ACCCAACGAAACGGTCAAACGGATAATCGACGCTGCAGCTGCACCTATGATCATGTTAGAGATCAATCTTCGAGTGGAAACATTGCCAAAAAGAACACAAAATACTTCAAAAATGGCAAAACGGTGAATATGTAAGATATCCATCCAGCTGGGTTAGAACTAATATTGTATGGTATATTAGTTAACCCCTTGATAGGCACTGGCCCAATGTGCATCCATAAGTCAGTGCGTTTAGATGTCATGTCACCAAACCTGTCCAGAAAAATTGAAGAATTTCTTCAGTGAAATCCCTTATTTGTCGTCTAAAAGTACACACTGTTCGGGATATAGATGCCCAAAAGTGCATCTCTCCGGCTCAAGCTCAATAGCCTATTTCTAGCTTCACCACTAAACCCAAAAGACAAACAATGAAGGAACTCATTGATACGAACCTTATCCAGATCTCAGCCGAATTGGGATCTTTACGTAGAAGACGAGCAAAGTCCTCTTGAGTTTCCGGCTCGAAGTCACCTGAGAGCTCCACCTCTCGATTTGCCAGCCTTCGCTCTTTTTCCATGTCCTGCTCTTCTTTAGCTGGAAGCAAAAGAAATCCTTATAAAGAATAAACGAGATATTGTGCTGGAGATGAACAACAACTAACTCATTGGCTTCGCTTTCTTCAAATCCTTCGTTCGCTCTTTCTTGACTTCCACCGATGGTTTCTCAGCTTCCGCTGCCTTAACCTTATCAGCTGTAGAATTGGCTGCAGAGCTGTCACCAAATTCGCCATCATCACTGCCAAGTTTGCCTACGGCGGCAAGGTCTTCTGGGCGGAAACCAGCATTTGACCAGTCAAAACCCGGATCGCTCAACTAAATATCGTCGTGTTTATTTGTGCAAAAGCAGAAAGACGTTAGGCCCATACGATACCCACCGAAACCTTTTCAGCTGGTTCAGGAGACTCCTCCTCTTTCTTCTCTTTTTTCGGCACTATGGTGTCATCTTTTTCAGCTGTCCGTTTTCTTTCCTGAAGACAAAAAGCTCTGTGACATCATGTACGTGAATTATGAAAAACCTTAGAATTAGAGCTACGTTATCAAAATAGATACCTGGATAGCAGGAGCCTTGAATACAATTTCAACAAGTGATAGAGATATTCGACCTTCACCATCAATTTCACGCACTCGCACGGTCAGTATAGAGTTCAACGTGATTGCAGGAATCTCTCTGAAGCGAAACATTTCGATACAAGTCTAGCGCAAAGAAATGGAAGACCAAAAACTCACGGGTGATGTATTTTCCGTAAACGACCAACAATTCCGGGTCCAATTTCCACCAAAACTGCATCTATTGTATGTTTAACTACGAAACCGTCGCACTAAAAACACGACTTCTTCAGGGTACTAGAGTCGAAGCTTTGAAAAAAAAAATGGAAAAAAATGTGAAACTAGGCAACGAAAAAAGTATAATGCAGAAAACTCGAAAAGGTGGACTGGATGACCCAACCATATACAAATTCTTACTTATTATATGTATAAAAAGCTTGATTGATGAAATAAGCTTGATAAAAAGCCTGTCTGAAATCCGTAAAATACGGCAGCACCTAAGAACGACCTAGAAAGGCAGGGTCAAGTGTGGGATGAGTGGGGTATGGACCACGATATACGCAGTACACAAGAAAAAAAAACAGAGTTCCGTCTACAGTGGGCGAACAGTGCAACAAAATGGGCTGTAAGGGGAGATAAAAATTACTATTTGGGCCCTGGAACCAGCAAACAAAGCCTTCCCTCTACTAATCTGTTTGAAAAATCGACCACAGTTCCAGGACTCCCTAGGGGCCACAGAAAGGTGGATGGGGAATATGGAGCGGGCTACGGTGAAATGCTGGTAGGGAGGACAAATTCGCGTCGAAGAGGCCAAACTGAATGACGAAAAATTGTCCATGAAGGACGGGTGTGCGCCGAGATAGGCGTGGTTAAAATCAAAATTCTTGTTTTTTTTCCCGTGCGACGCACCACTCCTCTTTGTTTGCAGAGGCGAAACGGTGAAACTGATGTGCTAACCAAGCAAGTGACTCAAGCAGAACAAATTGCAGAACTACTTACCACTAATCCAGCCGTAGCATCACTGCGGT